TGAATTTGACAAACACCGGGGATGCCAAAAAATGAATTCAAATTCTATCTATATAAAAAGTAATGTATGTGTGTGTGTCTGTTTGTCTTTTCTATATATATATATGGTACATAAAAAAAATAAAAGTGAATTGAAGTGACACCGTTCACACATTAGCCATGAAACTTTGAGAAGATGTTCAGAATATTCATGGGGAGGTATCTGCGCAAAAAAAAAACATTTTCAAAGTCACAGGAGTGGCGCCCCGGCACGGCGCAATTTGTTTTCTCTCTATATACCGTATATAAAAATAAAAGTCGATTGCGGTTTCACACCATTTATCCGATCGCCATCAAACTTTGGGGAGTTAATTACAACACTTCAGGTGAGGTTTCTGTATAACAATTTTTGTTTAATTTTATAAAGTCGCCGCCAAGGGGTGGTGGGATTTTTCTCTATATCTAATATATAAAGCTCAGTTCTGTATGTAATGCATTTGTATGTCGTTGGAAGTGTACGAATTTAAAAGTTAGAAAATTATCGTGCGCATTTGTCTAAATTTATGAGCTAAAAAATTACTATTGAAAGTGTTGGGAAATAATTTTCATTTTTCAAATTATAGTAATAATTATCGGCATGTTCATTAAACACAAGTTTTAAAAAAAATATCATCTTTTACAAAAATTCTAATTATGTCTTTATTTAGTCCTATAGCACTTACTTCCCTTTGATAAATTAGGAAAAACACAATTACTTCCCTTTATAAAACCATTGCATTTTGTGGAAAAGTATTTACTTTTTAATTACTTTGTTTTGGTGTTGGGAAAAAAAATAATTACATAATTAGCGGGGATTGATCAAGTGCAAATGTTGTAGGTATTTTACGGATAAGCTTGGAGTATTAAAATTGTTCATCAAATTGAAACAGGCGCGTTCGTTTAAGTGAGTGCAAAAGACTATGAATAAGTTGGGGTACTATAGTCGTTCATTAAGCTAAAACAGGTGATTCCGCCCCGGGCGTTTATGTTCGCGTTAGTGTTTTCTTTGTGTTTAGGTGGGTTTGCGTTAGTGGTTGCGTTTTGATTTGGTTCGTTTTTGTTCTTTCTTTTTTCGTTTTTGTTTGTGTTTCTTTGTTTGGGTTTGTATTTGTGTTTTTGGTTGGTTTTGCGTTTGGATTTGGTTTGTTTTCGTTTGCTTTTTCGTTGTTTTTTTTTTTTGTTGGTATTGGTGTTTGTGGTTGGGTTTGTTGTTAGGTTTTTGTTTTCGTTTGCTTTTTTGTTTGTTTTTTCTTTGTGTTTGTATTGGTGTTTGTGGTTGTGGTTGGGTTTGTTGTTAGGTTTTTGTTTTCGTTTGTATTTGTAATTGTGTTAGCGTTATGTTTGCGTTTTGTTGTTTTGGTTGGTTGTGGTTTGGGTGGGCAATGCCGGGTTTAGGATGATTACTAAACACACAGGTAATGGTCTTTAACAGAAAGGTTTTTCACAGAAGCCAGAGCAGGGCCTGGCCGGGACGGCTAGTCTAATATATAAAGCTCAGTTCTGTATGTAATGCATTTGTATGTCGTTGGAATTGTACGAATTTAAGTGCTAGAAAATTATCGTGCGCATTTGTCTAAATTTATGAGCTAAAAAATTACCATTGAAAGTGTTGGGAAATCATTTTCATTTTTCAAATTACAGTAATAATTGTCGGCATGTTCATTAAACACAAGTTTAAAAAAAATATCATCTTTTACAAAAATTCTAAATATGTCTTTATTTAGTCCTATAGCACTTACTTCCCTTTGATAAATTAGGAAAACAAAATTACTTCCCTTTATAAAACCATTGCATTAGTCGAAAATAATTTACTTTTTAATTACTTTGTTTTGGTGTTGGGAAAAAAATAATAATTACATAATTAGCGGGGATTGATCAAGTGCAAATGTTGTAGGTATTTTACGGATAAGCTTGGAGTATTAAAATTGTTCATCAAATTGAAACAGGCGCGTTCGTTTAAGTGAGTGCAAAAGACTATGAATAAGTTGGGGTACTATAGTCGTTCATTAAGCTAAAACAGGTGATTCCGCCCCGGGCGTTTATGTTCGCGTTAGTGTTTTCTTTGTGTTTAGGTGGGTTTGCGTTAGTGGTTGCGTTTTGATTTGGTTCGTTTTTGTTCTTTCTTTTTTCGTTTTTGTTTGTGTTTCTTTGTTTGGGTTTGTATTTGTGTTTTTGGTTGGTTTTGCGTTTGGATTTGGTTTGTTTTCGTTTGCTTTTTCGTTGTTTTTTTTTTTTTGTTGGTATTGGTGTTTGTGGTTGGGTTTGTTGTTAGGTTTTTGTTTTCGTTTGCTTTTTTGTTTGTTTTTTCTTTGTGTTTGTATTGGTGTTTGTGGTTGTGGTTGGGTTTGTTGTTAGGTTTTTGTTTTCGTTTGTATTTGTAATTGTGTTAGCGTTATGTTTGCGTTTTGTTGTTTTGGTTGGTTGTGGTTTGGGTGGGCAATGCCGGGTTTAGGATGATTACTAAACACACAGGTAATGGTCTTTAACAGAAAGGTTTTTCACAGAAGCCAGAGCAGGGCCTGGCCGGGACGGCTAGTACGGTATATAAAATAAAAGACAATTGCGGTTCAACAGTTTATCCGGATGTCATAAAACTTTAGGGAGTTGATGAATACTCCCGAGAAAGTTTCTGGGGAAGGGGAATTCAGTTCAATTTCGCATGGCCATGCGTCTTAGAACATAGGATGGGTAACCCATTGATGAAACAATCTATATATATAATTCTCTTCTGCGAGACGCTAGAAAACAAGCTGTAAACGCGCTCCCTACCATCCACACCCCTTCATGGTCTTAGTGAGCTGTGGTTCACTCAATGTTTACCTTCGTGGGGTCGGGTTTAGTGACGGCTATTACGGGCAGATAATTTAGTTTGAACCGATTTTAAACGTTGGGGGGGGGGGGGGGAAGAAAGGGGGGGGGGGGTTATGGTCCTTAACGAGCTACTTATAGTGTTTTAAAGAAATATTTTTAGTGTAAGCGTTGGTACTGTCGAATTCACAAATTATGAATTACTGAAAAGTAGAAAAAAAAAACAACTAAATAGCGGTGTATGTTATGCCGCGGGCCGGTTCGTTCTTATATATTTCGTCAGACTTTCTTCTATCCCCGTGGCAACGCGCATAGACGGATACGCTAGTTTACAAATTTAAAAAAGTAATGGACCTAAGATTGAGCCCTGATAATTTCTATGTTGACAAACTTCTTTGAAGATATGCTGTTTAGGTGAAATACCTATTGCGATCTATTAGACAAGAAAGAGTGATTTAACCAGAGTTTGATAAAACTATAGAATTCGTTGTTATGATGTATAGTGTAATCAATAGAATCTATGACTTTTTTTTTTAAATCGACAGAGGTGCCACAATGTGGGTTTTAGTAAATAATTTTGATCTATCATCAGAGGCCTCGGACGGTGGCACCATTTAGGGGGGTGACACCAAGACGAAAAATTACAAAATATATAGAAGAAAAATGCTTTTTGCCTGTTCAGTTAATGAATAGAGTTAAAAAGTCCTAAGTAAACATTGACCATCTCGACAATAAATACACACACACTATTTCTCACACACATATAAATATATATATATATATATATATATATATATATACCCTTTTTAATTTTGGTGTGTAGGGGGGGGGGAGCTGTATGACAAGAGAATAAAGCTAGATTATCTTTTTCTTAGTAGTTTGACATGCATTGGTTAATATGCAGGTCTATTTATAATGTTTTGGAAAGGGAAGGTTTAGAAATTGGCCTGTAGTTATTTGGGTCTTGGATGTTAAACTTTATGTGTAGTGGTATAATCATTGAATACATGAAATGTTTTGGATAATAGCTTGGCTATGCAGAGATTTCTGGAGCTGAAATCTTCAATACTTTGTTAAATGTAATCAAATGAAGACAATGACTTTGTTTATATTATAATCAGCAACGGATAGCTTAACTTTATTTTTAGAAGATTATAATAGTTTTTCATAGAAGCCAAGTTATAGAAAGACTTTGTCGTGTTCAATAAACAAATGGAAATATTTCTATGCCATAATTTTAATTATTTTTTGAGAGCTTTTCGAAGATGAAAAGTGACAATGCATAATTTTTGTAAAATCCATGTTAGTAAAGCAAAAGAAATAGCAATGGATTTGAGATTATAAAACGTTAAAAACAAGATAAATTACTATCGTTAAAAACAAGGTAAATTAAAACAGAATCGATATATCAGTCATACCGCCTCTAAAAATACCTTATTTGTTCTCTCTCTCTCTCTCTCTCAATCAATTAATCAATCAATCAATTTATATATATGTAAATATACATATATATATATATCTATCTATCTATATATATAATATATATATCTATATATATATATATATATCTATATATCTATCTATATATATATATATATGTATATATATATGAAACTATTATATACATGTACAATTGTAGCCTATAAATAAAACGTTTTGACGTTGTAAATTGTTCACATTTATATATAAATATACAAGGTAATCTTAAAGTATGTGCTGTGATGATTAATGACATCAATTCTTACCTTGAAGTGCTTTTTTCTCTTGTGTGAATATTTATAAATTATTAATTAATTAATAATAATAATAATAATTAATTTATCAACCTTGCATTAACTTCATTCTTAGTGACACCATACAAATGAACTACAGGCTAATGTTTCAAATGGTTACAACAATAATCCTTAAAAATTTAAACACTTAAGTTAAAAAAAAAACATTGTATTTGCTTATCTTTAAAATGAAATGTTAAAATAACCAATAGACCTATTAATTTCTATCACAAAAATACTAGAATGATGAGGATTATAGGCCTATCCTGTATACGACACCTAATGACAGTGAGAACAATTTTAATGACAAATATCAAAGTCATATCTTCTGTCTCCACTGTGTGACCTGAGTGCGAAATTCATCATTTTATGTAAAGATTAAAGTTCCTTGTGAACAAGGTGGCTAATTTCCTGAATGAGACTTCTGATGTCGAGATAGAGAAGATTTCCTAGAAAACACTTTATGACACACATCACATACATGTGGACCACCTGAATGAGTCTTTTTATGCTTCAATAATACATCTTTCCGAGTATAGTTTTTATGACTAACATCACATTCATGTAGCCTAAGCCCTGAATGAGACTTTTGATGTCGATATAAATTAGACTTATTAACAAATTTTTTATGACACACATCACATTCATTAGGTCTTAATTGTAAATGAATATTTTTATGTTGAGAAAATTGAGTTTTTTGAAAAAACTCTTTATGGCAGACACCACATTTATATAGCTGAAGCCGAACATGAATTGTAATATGTTTAAATAAATTAGTCTTTTCAGTAAATTTTTTATGACATAAATCACATTCATATGGTATGTGTCCTAAATGTTTATTTTTATGTACTTCTAAATAACCTTTCTGACTTAACTTTTTATGACACACATTACATTCATGTGGTTTAATTCCAGAATGAATATTTTTGTGCATAATTAAACTATTCTTCTGAGCAAAGTTTTTATGACACATATCACATTCATATGGCCTAAGCCCAGAATGAGTCTTTTGATGTCTAGATAACTGGTACCTCTGAGCAAACATTTTATGGCACACATCACATTCATGTGGCTTTAGTCCTGAGTGAATAATTTTGTGTTTAGATAAACCAGACTGCCTGACAAACTTTTTATGACACACATCACATTCATATTGTTTCTCATGTAAATGAGTTTTTTTATGCTGACTTAAATGACATTTTAGATTGAAACTTTTTTGACAAACGTCACATTCATATGGCTTGAGATTAGAATGTATATTTTTATGGACAGATAACTGACTCTTCGTAGTGAACTTTTTATGACACAAATCACATTCATGTGGTCTTATTTGTGCATGAATATTTTTATGTTGAGATAAAATAAATTTACGATTAAAACTTTTATGACACACATCACATTCATATGGCTTATGTCCAGAGTGAATAATTTTGTGTGTATTTAAACTAGATTTATGAGCAAACTTTTTATGACACACATCACATTCATTGAATCTGTCTTCAGGATGTAATTTATGCAGACAAAACGTCTTGTTTATTTTCTTAAGCTGTTTTACATGACTGTTCATAGCACCTTGTTGCTGATGAAAATCATAACCATATGAATTCTTTCTTGTGTGAGTTTCCATATGTTGTGTAATATGATCAAAATGAGTAAAACTTTGACAACACATATCACACTTATAAGCCTTCAGTCCCTTATTCCTGAGGTCATACATTGTTGGAAAATTATCAATAACTTCTTTATGCAATTCCTTGAGTTCTTTTAAATCATGATGAAGATCTGATTTTAAAACTGTAAAATTTTCAATAAAAGCATCAGAATCTGATAAAAATTCAAGCTGTCTTTTAACATCTAAGCTATTTTCGTTTTCACCCTTAAATGATGAAAATGTTAAGATGTCCTTTTTCATAGCATCACACCTTAAAAGTTCTGTTGAAACATTTGGTTTCATATCTTTAGAATAAGAAAATGTTTCATCTGATTGTTGATCTTCTGAAGTTGAAAATGCAACTGTTTCATTTGATTTGTCTTCAAAAGGTGAAGATTGTGATGATATATTTTGTTTGATAACATTTGAAGTTGAAATCAATGTTGATAAATTTGGTTTCACATCTTCTAAAGTTGAAATTCCCAATGTTACATCTGATTTTAAATCTATCAATTTTATTTTTTGGTCACTTGATTCCTGTTTAACCACAAGTGCACTTTGCAAAGACATGGCTGATTTTCCCAGTCTTTTCTGCATAGACTTAAATGGATGGCTAAAAAAGAGAAAATAAAAACAGATATGAACAAAAAAATAAAATTATACTTTAAAACATTTTTTTCCCTTAAAATATCCATTTTAACACATCAACTTTCAGTAACTCTCTTCATAAGATGTGGTAAAAAAAAGTAAAGTTTCCCTTTCAAACCTGATGGTCTATGGGGTAAGTGAAGTAGAGTTCACTTGTTTCTGTGACCTCTGCATATCAAGAGATAGTGTGGTCAGCACTATGCCCAGCCGCCTTTACTTTCCCTAACATGAGTTAGGTACCCATCAAAGTTGGGTGGACTCAAGGACGGTCTACTGACTTAACCACGGATTCGAAATTGAGACTCACAGGTTAGCAGGCCAGCTCTCTACCACTAGGCCACTCCGTCCCATTGATGTGGAGAGGTCCATTAATATAGGCCTTAAAATTTTTTTAGTTTTAATAAAAAAAACTCTCTAGAAATTATTTAATACTTTAACAAGAATAATATTTTTAAAGTTTCAACTTTTCAGTAACTCTCTTCATAAGATGTGGAGAGGTCAATTAATTTGGCCTAAGACAAAATTTAGTAACTTTCCTTAAACAAATGTTGACACTCTGTATATTATAAAGTATGAACTCTAAAATAAATACCAATGTACCTAGCGATCTAAGGGAAAAAATCTAATGTGCAACGTTTATTTTGTCTGAACAGTGTTCTAAACATCTTATAATAGGATATATGTATTAAACAAGACTACTGCACAGCAGTGCAGCCTAGAGGGAACATAGCAAGTGATATTGTGTAATGTTTAAACAGCTCTCCTAAATCATCTAGATGTAGTTTTGTTTAAAGATTTAAATTTTGCCGAACATTTTTCCCCTTAATTTTGGGGTAGTTAGAATCAGGTTCTGGATGTAACTGTACAACTTGTTATAATGTACATTGTATTTAATTTTGTTATTGTACTAATACAAACAATTATATATATTATTGTATAGGCTTATGATCAGAGGCTGGGGTTTAAAGTAAAAAATTATTATATCAATCAGTAGGCCTATACCTAATTTTCTCCTGTTGTGGTATAGGGTTCAAAAACAGTTCAAAAATATTTGCTACAACCCTGCTTGCTTATCATAAAAGTACCAATTTATCTTTGGTACATGTATCTCTATAGAAGTGCTTATATCAGCCAACGATAGATATAATTTCAAATTCTCTCACTATATGTAGCTTGTATTTGTAGGCATACATATTTTTAGAATTTTTGTATGGAAGTGTTAGAATTTTTAAGAGGTTAGTTTTATTTTAAGTAATTTTTTCTAACATTGTGTGAAAGAATAGATAGTGTGGCTATTATCAAGTATTGTTTTATGTTTGCAAACCTGTCTTAATTGTATTTTTTAAAATTATATTGTGGCAAAAGGCATTAATATTATAATTTTTTAATAAATTATATCTTACTTAGTTTAGGGTTAGTGATTAGGCTAAGCCGCTAAAGGCTAGAGCTAGGTATAGATTTAGAAAATAATGTTAGGCATTGTTAGGCCATTTGTATTTGTCTTCAGAGCAAATAGTTAGCGTCAGATAATTTCTTAATATTTGTGTTGAGTTTGATATACATTAGTTACTGTAAACCATAGTTTATTTGACAGTTGAACAATAAATAAAGTCAAGTGCATTCGTGTTTTAACTTAATTTAAAATTTTATTGACTGAAAATTTGCAACAATTAAATATTAGTATATCTAAATAGTAATGATTTGTGTAGTAATTAATGTTTTATTAAGAAACACAGAAAAAAAAGCAGATTTGCATCAAGTAGATTCTAGATCTAGATCTAGTAAAATAAGATGATTAGATTTACTAAAGTCTAACGTAGTAAGAAGGAATAGATCAATGTTTAGAACTAGCAATAATTTCCACATACACTTAAAATAATTAGAAATACAAAATAATTAGCAAAACAGTATTTAAAATGCAACTAAAATCAATCTATGCATTTTTTCAAACTTTATGTATTAAAAAAATATGGTGCAAAATAAAATATAGTTTACAATACTTTCTGTGGTTTTCAAAATGGCATGACATAATACGCCATAGTTTTACTGTTTTTTAACGGTAAACGGAAAAAAAGTCACAGGAAAAAAAAACACAGAAAAAAAGTCACAGTATTTGCTAGGAAAAAAAGTCACAGAAAAAAAGTCACAAAGGAAAAATTTTATCGGAAAAAAAGTTACAGAAATAAAGTCACAGGAAAAAAGTCACAAAAATCTTTTTAGAAATCTTTTTATTAATTTGTTAAGAGTTGTAAAATTTTGTATGTTTATTGTTGTGGGTTGTATTTTTTATAGTATAAATTATTTATAGACGTTAAAAGACTTATGATTTATAACAATAGTAAGTAAAAATACTCTAAGATAATTAACACAACAATCTCAAATTTGTTACGTATTTAGTTAAATACGCGGTAGAAAAGTTAATTATAAAAGAAATTTAGGCACATTTTGCCGTAGGCTATTCATTGGTCGGCCTCTGATCAGTAGGCTTTGTCCGAACATATTTTGTGTTGTTGACGTTATGCGTCAAGGACAGCCTTTGAACCTTGTCGGCTTTCTGTTTTGATCCTAAGTTTTGTTATGTATTTCATTAAATTAGCCGTAGGCTATTCATTGGTCGGCCTCTGATCAGTAGGCTTTGTCCGAACATATTTTGTGTTGTTGAAGTTATGCGTCAAGGACAGCCTTCAACCTTGTCAGCTTTCTGTTTTGATCCTAAGTTTTGTTATGTAATGAGCGTGATAAATGTGGGCAGTAAAGGTGGTTGAACTAATCATAACTATTGTTGCGATGAGTTGAGGGCAGCAAGTCAGATGAACTTACCATTTCACGGTAATTTAATATTGGTATTTAAAAAAAAAACACGATGAAAAACGTGGACTTTGGAGAATTCTATTAAATGCTACTAATCTTAAGTTTAAAATAATTACAATCTACATACTTTATAATAAATATTTTTAGATGAATTATAAAAATTCATATGCGTATACAGCCTACACACATTACATTAAATTAATCCTAAGTTAATTTGCACTCTCTAAATATTTAATACATAAAAGTATTAACAAATATCATGCAAATATATATTTGTGAATTTTTTCCTGTGACTTTTTTTCCTGTGACTTTTTTTCTGTGACTTTTTTTCCTACAATCTTTTTAACTGCTATACCATTCCAGAAAAATGCTATATTGTGAGATTACGGTTACTAATACATTTAACTTAAATTTTACAGATCTATACTTTATTATGTAGAGTAGTGTCTTTGACTTTGTTTTCGTGTGTAGACTTAAGACTACTATAATATAGCTATACTATAGACTTTCAGCATTTTCTCTATTCTTCACTCCTATACTTATCACTTATAGTATTGAGTTAGAGCAGGGGTCTCCAAACTTTTCAGTCCGAGGGCCGCATTATCTATCAAATTTCAGCTCGGGGGCCAGTTTCTTCCAGGCATGTCTTTGATTTTTCTGGGCAAAGTTCCTCAGCCATCGCCAACAAACGATTTTTCCTTGGACAAAAAGATCTTCGCGGGCCGGATGACAGGACTTCGCGGGCCGCATGCAGCCCGCGGGCCATAGTTTGGAGACCCCTGAGTTAGAGCATAGACATAGATAGAGGAAATGCTGAAAGTGCTTAAATTCCCTCACATCCTGTCCAGGAAATAAACAATGATCATTTCCTCAATCTAGATCTAGGTACTAGATGAGTAGGCCCTTATTGCCCTATATAAAAAAATGGTAATCTATCGTTTTAGGTACGTAAAATTGCCCGCGACTAGTAATGTGAAAAACAGGTGACTCCTTAAATTTTAATAATTATTTAACATTTCGAGGAGGATTTATGTTTTGAAAAATACAAAAATGTTTCCATGTTTCATTTATATACCTGTTTTCAAACAATTGCATTAAAACTTTGCAATAATAAATGAAGACCAGCGATGTTTCCAACAGATGCCGAGATGGAACCATGCTCATTTACTATAGCAGCCATCTTGTTTAAGTTCTTTCTTTGTTAACTTATAGCACAAGATTCAGGGGAAGGCAACTCTTTTTACAAATGGCTGCTGTTTATATACTATTATATAGGAAATCTTGCTCACAAACACTGCTGTTTAAAGTTAATTTCTGGCCTATATTGATATATTTAGCCATTGATTTAGGTTTATTATTCATTTATCTATGATATTTGACACAAATATATCACAATATTCAATATACTTCTATTAAAGCCTTGACAGTGAGGTAACTTTTTCACACATTTCTAGTCGCTGGCGATTTTACGTACCCAAAACGATAGATTACCAAAAAAATATTGGCCTATATCTTATCAGACAAGAATTCTATATAACTATATAATTATAATTTTTTTTATAGGCCTATCTATTAAAAAAAATTATAGGCCCCTAACTATTAAATTTAATTAAATTCTATTATCTAGTCCTAGATCTAGATACTGGTAGTACCACTTGGTAGTAGTAGAGTAGTAGTAATACTAGTAAGTACTAAGTAGTAAGTAGTAGATCTAGTAGGTAGATCTAGGTAAGCCTACTGACTACTGAGGCCGGTAAAACTCCATTTCAGCGTATTTTATTCTCCGTTGCTTGTTTACCTCCAGTTGAGCGTATTTTATTATAACAACCGAAACACACCAAAACATTAGGAAAACACGATTTATTTTTTTGTATTGTATTTCTGTTTTCACAAATGAATAAAATGAATGTTTAAAAAACACGACTTATTTATTTGTATTGTATTTTTGTTTTAACAAATGAATAAAAAACAACAAAGAGACTGACTGAAGTGCTTTGTTTGTTGGTTACAAAAATAGAGATGCACACTTTGTACAATTAAGTGTTCCAATTTCAACTAAACTGAATAAAAGTATTAAAAGGCACAATGATGCTGCCGAAAGTGGGCCGAGGGGGGGGGGGGGGTGGAATTTGGTGAGGGATGGCTTGGAGTGTTAGAGAAAGTGTGACAACTCACGTTGTCATTTTAAAAAAAATAATGTTAGAGGTCGTCCATAAATGACGTCACACTCGTAGGGGGAGGGGGGGGGGGGTAATTTTGTGATGGTGTGTGAGGAGGGGGGGGGTTCAGATGGTGCTACGTCATTTTGGGGGGGGGGTCTTGTTTTTTGTGACGACACGCTTTTTTACGATTTTTACCTCCCCCTCCCCTCCGTTACACGTCGTCACAAAAAGTCAGACCCCCCCCCTAAAATGACGTCACACCTCAGCCTACAACCCTCCCCCCCCCCCTCAGAATTTCTGTTGAATTTTTCTTAAAACATCGATAATTTTTCCAAAATCTTGTCAGAACTCTGTCAACATAGAGTATTATGATCATTTCATATTACAATTTATTAAAACCGTTTTCTAAAACGCGAAATAACGGCTAAAACTTGTTTTTCTAACATTGCTTTTTATAATGCAAAAAAGGGACGTCACGCCATCTGAAACCCCACCCCCTGGCCCCCTCATCACACATCGTCACAAAATTGCTGACCCCCCCCTCTCCCATACGAGTGTGACGTCATTTATGGACGACCCCACATCAATTTTTTTTAAAAGTCAGAAATTTACTCATACAAAAAAGGGAAGGGTGGTAGATTTACTATGAATTTAAATAACATACAACTCTATAGTAATTTTTTTTTTCAGTTTTAGCAAAACTGTCAAATTTAAAAACACAGAGTTTGTACATTTATTGCATAAATACAAAAATATAAAACAGAATGATTAACAGTGTATCAGTTTCACCATGAGACAAATGCCTTTTTTTTAAAAAATACAATACAAATAAACAAGTCGTGTTTTTTTAAATATTCATTTTTATTCATTTGCTAAAACAAAAATACAATACAAAAATAAATCGTGTTTTCCTAATGTTTTGGTGTGTTTCGGTTGTTATAATAAAATACGCTCAACTGGAGGTAAACAAGCAATGGAGAATAAAATACGCTGAAATGGAGTTTTACCCTGAGGCCTACTCTTTTTAAATTTTAAATTAAAAAATTACACAAAAAAGCAAAAAAAAAATGAATGTCTGAGTCTGAAATCTGAATGTGGCTTCTCAATACTTCTCATTGATTTTGATACTAGATGTCTAGGTCTAGATCTAGAATTCTAGATCTACTTGATACGCTGAATAAATAAATTTAATTTTCTAAAGAAGAATCGACATTATTATTATTAAACGTTTTTTTTAGAATCTGTTGATACAGTTGCAGCGGTCATGTTATATTTTTACGTACTATTATCTAGAGTGGCTTCCCTCGTTAGGTCTAGATCTATCTAGATCTAGATCTAGTTGAATGTGCCGTATTTCTCAAAAAAGCGCCACACCAAAACGACGTGTTTAAGTGTAAGCGTCCCTTTATATTTTCTTTATGCGTTAACACAAAAAATGGAGAAAGTCAACTTCGGGAAACTAAATTTAGTTCAACTTGAAGAATAATGCCGAAAAGAGGAGCAAAAATTAGTGGAAGAAAAAGATTTCAAGTAGAAAGGTAAATAAGATCTATTTGTTGATTGGTTTTGCAAGTTAGGTTTCATTTTAATGGTGTAACGGTGTAAGGAAATTGAAAGGCGCGAAAAAAGCGAAATAGCGAGGCGGTAAACTGCGAGAAGGGCGTGAAAACCGTCGTAAAACGTCGGTCACGTGATATTTTTGCCTCGCATTTTACCACCACCCGATACTTACGCAGGGGGGGGGGGGGGGGGGGATGGTAGGATGCGAAGGGTGACCAGAAAGATGCGCAAAGGAAAAAAAGCGCAACGGAAAAAAGTGCAACGGAAAAAAGTGCAAAAAAAGCTCAACGGAAAAAAGCGCAAAGAGAAAAAAGCGCTCACAGAAAAACGCGCAAACAAAGAAAAAGCGCAAATAGAAAAAACGCAAACAGAAAAAAACGCACATAGAAAAAGCTTTTTCTGTTTGCGCTTTTTCCGTTGCGCTTCTTTCTGGGAACCGATGCGAAGCTATCTGCGAAAATACTACCGCGACCGATTTACAGCGATATTTTATGCAGACTTAAAAGACTTCCGATTTTTCCGTCGCTAGAAACTCTGATGATTTGTCAACTTAGCCATCTTTTGTGTAGACTTAGAATACCACCTTGTTCGAAACCGCCCGAAATACCGCCGACGATAGATCAACTTATTTCTTTTGTGTAGAACACCGAGGCCGCCTGCCGCGACAAATATATACTGTATTGTTGCAAATACATTTTGTTTTATTAGTATATTACTTAGCACAGGGGTGGGCGCTTGTTTTGGCTTGAGGGCCACTCAAATGGTAGAGGGTTTAAATGGAGGGCCGCACCGTTTAAAATGATTATGTTTTGTTTCGTGATGTCGTTTCAGATTGTACTCCTTAAATACGGCAATTGTTTCATGACACAGTAAACACACTGTGTGCCCATTCTTCATTAAACACACGGGATTCATCACCAATTTAACGCTTTTACGGATGGTTCATGTATTCACTTAATTTAGAATTTTCAAATGTTACTGTTGCACAGACAAACCGGAAAAGTGCGTATTTTTACTGCCAGCTCTAATGGAAAAAAATACGAGACGAGCTTTCGGTCGCGGACATGAAGCGAATCTCAGTTTAAGGTGGGTTTTTTTTTTTCGGGCCACAAAAAAAAACCAAACTCTGTGGCGGGTCGCATGTGGGCCGCACGTTGCCCACCTTTGACGTAGCAGAACAAACCCCAGGTGTAGCCTCAACCAACGGCGGGTTTATTGCATTAAATTAAATATAAACTCAAAACAATTATATATATATATATATATATATATATATATATATATATATATACTAGTGTACCCGTCCCCTAGCGTTGCGGGGTCATGCCACATACCACACACGCATAGTGGCGTGTGTTGTGCAGTAAAACCTTTAAACTAATAAACTTAATAAATAATTTATTTCCCTTTATTTTCGTTAGCGATAATTAAATTAACTAATTAATTAAGTAATGAGATTTCAAATTTCCTGTAAAATTTACTTTTACTATTACAGAAACAGCTGCGTTGTTTCAATACCACCCACTCTCTTTCTTGAATCAAAATTTACACTTTTGACCCCAACCACATTAGTAATTTTTTTTTAATTCGGTGGAGAAGAAGAGGGAGGGCTGTATACTCATTGAAACCGAGCGAAAAATGATTCACAGAGGTATTCACCATGAATGGCGTTGTAGCATGCGGGTATACTTTTTCCCCTCGAAAAAACAAAGCATCATGATATTAATGTCGCGCTTACTAAGTCACAATGTAGATTTAATGAGTAATAGTTGGACGGTTCGAAATGTATACCAACCCCTCAAACGGCGTTTTTTTTTTCTCTCGCAGATTAAAAAACGTCAGAATATTTAGAGTTTTGAATATCTAGTTATAGATTTTTAAAATATAGTCTAAAATAGTATTCTCTTTATGAAATCGTACTGACACGTCTATCAAGGCGGGATTTTTCTCCCGCTGACAAGAAAACGAGAGCGGCGGCCAGAGGATGTTAAGATTGTTTAATACAAAATCAAATTATATAACAAAAATAAGAACACAACATTTGTGATATATCATCTTTAGTGTATAACTATAAAAAAAACCCTAAAAAACATGAAAAAAAAATTGTTTTCGCAAATTGTGTCTCGCTATTTACCCGTGATTCCGCAGGTATGTCTCGTATTTTCTTTTCACAGTTTACCGCCTTGCCATTTTGCTTTTCGCGCCTCGCAATTTACACACACCCTCATTTTAAAAATAAGTTGTTTTGACTAGAGACGACTAGAGAGTAGATCTAGGCCTAGAGTTGAAATTAGAGTACTCCGTTTCCTCGAACTTCACGAGTTTTAAAGGATAATGTTGTGTACTTCATTAATGAAGTGGTTTTTGGTGAGAGTATTTTAGCTGATGTTCTAACTCGTGAAGAGATGCCTGGAAGAAAATCTGTTCGGTAAGCTGGTCCCGAAGTTTAACGAGGTAGATTTTGTCGTTTTCTTCAATTCCTTTGAAAATTTAGCCAAATCATGTGAATGGCCCGAAAGGTCTGTCACCACTTTATTGAGCAGTTTTAATAGGGAAAGCTGCTAGTACATTTCAGGCACTCTCTCGGGATGTACAAACCAATTATGGGCTGGTCAAAGCTGTTATTTTAAAAGCATATGAGCTAACACCTGAGGCTTATCGGATAAAATTCCGAAAGCTCAGAAAGCAGCCCAGCCAATCTTATGTGGAGTATCTTTTCGAGAAAGAAAAAGTTTTCTCTAGGTGGCTCCATTCAGAAGATGTCGGAGATTTTGAACAGCTCAAATCTCTGGTCTTAAGACAGGAATTCCTAAATTCCCTACCCGAAGAGATCCATCTACATTAATATCCTGGATAATAGGATATCTGACATTAAGAAGGCTGCTGAGTCGGCAGACACATTCGCTGGTCCCAAGAAACCACAGGTGTCCAGTAACCGACTAAACCCAGTACTCCCCCTCGTTGGCTCTCTGAAGTCTCTCCAGTGAATAGAGAAGCCCAGAACCACAGCCAGTCAACTAGCAGTATGCAGGTACTGCAAGAAGCCTGGCCACTTCATGAAGAACTGTTATCTGCGGCGACGAGACAACAGAGAGGTTGTGCGCACATCAGCGCATAATGCTTCCCCCCTCAGGCAGCAAGTTCAAAGTTGAACTCTACTTTTCGGGATGACACTACCCCTATGTGTCCACAAGAAAGGAATGAAGTTTCCACCACCTACGTACAGTCATATTTTGACTATCCACTCCACCGACTAGTTACTTCAGAGGCAACCGATTTCGAGGGATCGAAAAAAGGTTGGCTTCTCATCGTTCCTGGCAGATGTTTTAAATAGTAACCCTAGTGATCCGTCGTTCAAGCTGAACATAGTTGCCCTGATAGACACAGGGGCCTCACAGTCGCTTCTACTGAAGGACTCGATGGACATTGCACTGGAAACTAACACCGGGAATGTTACCATTATTCAAGGAGTGGGGGCAGAACCCACTGTAATCCCTCTGCATAAATTAAATCTGTCTCATTAGCTTGGCCAAGGAGAAGTCATCCTGGGGGTAATCGACTGTACCCCTGCCCCAGGAGTGCACCTGCTCCTAGGTAATGACTTAGCTGGAAGCAAAGTCTACCCTCAGAAGGCACAGAACCCGTTGTCTACACCTCCCGACGAAGAAAATGAATTGTATCAGCATGTGTAATACAACGGAGTGAGGCCAAGCGGTTAGCTGATACAGTACCAGATCCACTCAAATCATCGTCATCGTGAAGTCCAGTTCCCAATCCGGAACCTGTGCCACTAGAGGCTCCATTCATGGAATTACCTCTGAAAATATCTCGTAATGACATAGTACAAGCACAAAAAGAAGACGCTGAGCTCCAATCGGTGGTCGTGAAATCCCTCTCGGCCGACGATGGGGAGTATTTCACAGCAAATGATCTGGTCTTCCGACGCTTCTTCCCTTCAACTGCCTCTCCTGCCGAACCATGGTTGGTGAAAAACCAACTATGGGTCCCTCCATCATACCGGCAGGAAATCCTGAAATTGGCCCATGACAACCAGATGTCGGCCCATCCTGGGGTCAAGAAGACGATGGCAAAAATCAGGGAACTGTTTTTTTGGCCGAAAATGCGAAACGATGTGTCTCGTTACTGCAAACATTGCAAGGACTGTCAGTTTGCCGGGGAACCCAATAAAACTATCCCTAAGGCCCCGTTGGATACAATTCCTGTGTTGAAAGAACCATATGATAAGGTTACTCAAAAGCGAACATTCAATCCTGGTGAAAAAGTCCTTGTTCTCGTACCTAACTTAACAATGCTTTAAGGAACTGTGGATCCTTCACGGTCCGTGCAAGATTGAATGATCTGAACTATCTCAACAAAACTCCAGACCAAAGGAAGAAACAACAGATATATCATGTTAACTCATTAAAAAAGTACTATGATTATGAGAAAAATCCCGCCGCCCATGCGAAATTAAACAAAAAATTGTTTTACAGAAACCTCACCTGAAGTGTTGTAATTAACTCCCAAAAATTTGATGGCGATCTAACGAACGATGTGAAACCGCAATCTACTTTTTTTTATATATATACGGTATATATAGAGAAAACAAATCGCGCCCTGCCGGGGCGCAACTCCTGTGACTTTGAAAATGTTTTTTTGCGCAGAAACCTCCCCAGAAATATTCTGAACATCTTCTCAAAGTTTCATGGCCAATGTGTGAACGGTGTCACTTCAATTCACTTTTATTATTTTTATATACCATATATATAGAAAAGTCGCATTCTCCTGAGGCGCCGCCCTTGTGAAATTAAAAAAAGAATTTTTGTGCAGAGCCCTTCCCAAAGTTTGATGACGATCGGATGAACGGTGTGAAACTTCAATCGATTTTTATATACCATATATATATATATTTAAAAAATTGCGCACTATTGTGGCGCCACCCCTGCGAATTTGAATTTTTTTTTCGCAGAAACCTCACTAGTAAAATTCTCCACAACTTCCCAAAGTTTAATGGCAATCGGATAAAAGGTGTAGTAATGCATAAAATACAGACAGACACACACACATACATTATTTTTTATATAGATAGAATTTGAATTCATTTTTTGAATGAATGAATAAATGAATTTATTTGAATTCATTATCATAATAATTTGTGCACTAAATCATGTTTTACTATATTTAAGGGACCAAGATTCAAGACTGCTGTTGAGAATGTTTTAATATTCAAGAGACATCCTCTTCAGCTAACACAATAAGCTTTGGATGTTTATGGGATGAAAGTTGATGAAGATAGTGGCATTAGAAAGTTAGTGTTAGTGGGTATTAGACCTCCACCGACAGCAGTCTAATAATTAGTAACAGCCTTGGTGATACTGTGCTTGTATCCCTTTTAATGTTCTTTATATATTTTTATATAAACCAAGCACTGCAATTTCAAAAGCCAAAGTTCCTGCTTCAACACACAACATGCATCATTAACAGTCTTAGACTTAGAGGATCTTTCATTGTTAAAAAAAAAAGAAGGAATATTTTTTTATATTCTAAAGTTAATGTCAACAAGACAGTAGAATTGTTAGAGTCACCCAGTAGAGAACAATAGGAATAAGACCATTTTGCTTTTAGGAGAGGTTTATTTAACACAGGCCAGAACGGATAATACAAACTTGCTCAGACTGTCTGTGCTATATTTTTAGTAAATTTTGATTCTCCATTTATACTTGATACTAATAACTTGTTAAATTTTGATTTTGCAATCTTTCCTTTTATTAGTTCTAAAAAACTTCTGGTGCACACATTTCAGTAGGCACTACAATGTTCAAGAAATTTGGGTTAAATTTCTGCAAGGGTGTGACTATTTATAACAATACCTGACCCATATAGAAAACAATGCAAACAATACTATAAAAATTAATCTCATGTTTAGTTTGATTTAATTGTTGTATATTCCTTATTTCAAACATATTGAACTAAACTTGACTTCAGAAACATCAGTCGGTGTATACATTTTTAATAAAAAAAATTGACAATACAACCAATAATCAAATTGCATAATTAACCCATATTTATTTAGGTAAATAATTGTGGGTACTTTATTGGTTATTTAAACTTATTTTCTAAAAATTTTTTAACACTCCTTTGCATTAAATATTTTAACCCATATTTACCACATGTTGTAACAGATAAATGTTTCTTATATATGGAATATAATAGTACTTTATTTTCATATTATGTATCATCTCTTAATTTGTATAATGTATTCTTTTTTTTATCTATTTATAGATGGCACTGTTTCACAAGCATTCAGTGAGTCTCAGGAAGATAAATGTGAGTGGCTAGATTAATTAATTGTTTTGTTCTTATAGTGGTTGTTTTGTTGAATTGTGGTGTTGTATGGCAGAAAGCATTTAATTTAGAAATGTACTATGGCAGGTCAATTAATGGGTCGCTCTGACCTTCAGGTAGAGTATAGAGTGTGGGCAGTTGAAAGTTGCTTTGTATTTCTTGTAAAGTGATTGCCATATCTAATTGGGTGTTTAGCTAATAGTTGATATGTTGTATTTAGTTCATTTTTTTTCCAATAACCTCTAAAGTCATGTATTTTTAGGTTTAAAAAAAAATTGAGTTTAGTGATTTTTTAAAATGATATGTGTAAGCTTGTTTGATATTTTATCTAATTGGGTGTTTAGTTAATATGTTGTATTTAGTTCATTTTTTTTCCAATAACCCCTAAAGTCATGAATTTTTAGGTTTTAAATTTTTTAATGATATATTTAAACTTGTTTGATATTTTTGAATAAAGTTATAATTAGTTGCAAAATAAATAAGCCTGTTTAGTTTTTCTTGCATGTATGTCTCTTGAACTACTAGCTAGTACAGTTATGTTGTATGCAAAATCTAGGTCCTCTAAGTTGGCCAAATTGAAGAAATTTGGACAGTTTGGTGATGTGAAAGGTGTGTATATGGAGCCATTAGTGTAAATAGTGTGCCTACTGTAGCAAGAATGGGTGACATCTTTGTTTGTTGACGTGTAACAATGGGAAGCTATTGGTTAAGCGTCAGCGGATGTGTTGTAGAGCAGTATCTAAGCAGGAGAAATTAAAGGAGTTGACTCTGTTAGCGGGCTGTGAGTTACAACACAAGTAGTTATGTATGGGGGTAAATGAGAGAAGCTGATTAAATAGACATGTTATTTCAAGATCATTGTTAATTCACTTAGTCAATTAATTCAAATAGGTAAAAAAAAACATCCCTCACCAACATTGTGGCTAAAAACAATTTTAATTTGTTTATAGATATAAATCTTTTAAATCAAATAGAAATGTGCACAGGATGAATACAAACTGTGAGTATAATAGAGCAGAAATTAGTACTTTCTTAAGGAAACACTGATTTTGTTAGAAATACTGTAAAGTACTACTTCTGGTCACTGGAAATCCCTTAAAATTTTACAGAAAATAGAAAAGAAGTTCATATACCCATGTATGGAATTTCGTTTAGCTAACTGATAAATTACTTTATTCTCTGCATACGAAAAGTATAAAGGAATCTAATTGGCATACGAATGAAATTTTTAGTTTGCATACAGTAGTCAGAGCACAACAACTGCTGCTTTATAGTTTATTCTTGGGTGAAAAAAGGCTGTGAAAGCAAATCTAGAAAGATGTCAAGACTAAAATCTGCGTCAACAGGCCATATGGTACCTAACATGTTGGCACATATTACTTAATTGTGTTGGAGGAAACCCCCTTCAATATTACAGTATGTCTACAGATTGTTACAAATATAATAAACCGGGAGTGATCTCCCCTAAACTTTCTTGAATATTCTTATATAAAACAACAGGGGATGGGAACTCGGGATATAATTATGATTTTTAATCCATTTTAAATACTTAAACTTTTTAAAATAGAATCTCATAGAAAAAAGAATTGCACACCAAGTGTACGCCAAAACAAAATGTGCATAATAGTGAGGAATATTATTAGTACTTTATAAATTTACATGCGTTTTTTGAGAAAACAGAATTAGTGTAAAATACTACTTCCGGTCAACGGAAATTACTCAAAATTTGAAGGTGGAGGATAAGATCTTTTACTTACATATGACATTTCATGTATCTATCTGAAATAGTACTCAAGTTATAGGCTTTTGAAAAATTCAAAGTAGAAAAAGTACCATTTCCGGTTATCGGAAATCGCTCAAAAGTTGGTACGATTTTGATAAAGTACTTATATATGAAATTTCATCAACCTAGCTGTAATGGTACTCAAGTTATCGTGTTTACACACACACACACACATACACACAGACATAAGGACAAGATTGCAAAAATATGATTTTCCGACTCAGGGAGGTGTAAAACGTCGAGATTTATTTTTTCTTTGCACGATTACAAGACAAGACTTTCTCTATACTTTGTATATACGAGAAAGTTAAAAGGTGTGTTACACCACTAGTAACCTGTATATTGAACATGATATGAATCAGATTGCTGAAGATATGTCCAATATTATGATAACCTACTGATATACGGAATACATAAAATTCTAAGTGAGAAACAACGGTTCTATGAAAAAAATTAAACGAATATTATATAAACATTTATGTCCATAACAAGAATGTCTGAATCTGCATTGTACAAGATCCATTTTGCAACAAAAACGTCATCGAACCTAACATGGTGTAGAAGACAACATCATTTCATATGTTACATATACATATATGTATATATATATATATAAATATACAAGGTAATCTTATTGTATGTGCTGTGATGATTAATGACATCCATTCTTACTTTGAAGTGTTCTTTCTCTTGTGTGAATATTTATAAATTATTGTTGCAAAATTTAATAAAATTAATTGTTCAACCTAACATTAACTTCATTCTTAGTGACATTATACAAATGAATTACAGGCTGATGTTTCAAATGGTTACAACAATAATCCTCAAAATTTAAATACTTAAGTGCCAAATTTATCATTTTATGTAAAGATTAGTGATCCTTGTGAACAAGAATTTTATGACCAACATCAAATGCAGGTGGCTAATTTCCTGAATGAGACTTCTGATGACGAGATAGAGAAAATTTCCAAGAAAACATTTTATGACACACATCACATTCATGTGGACCGTCTGAATGAGTCTTTTTATGCTTCAAAAATTCATCTTTCCTAGTAAAGTTTTTATGACAAACATCACATTCATGTGGACCCCATGAATGAGTCTTTTTATGCTTCAATAATTCATCTTTCCTAGTATACTTTTTATGACAAACATCACATTCATGTGGCCTGAGCCCAGAATGAGACTTTTGATGTCGATGTAAACCATACTTACTAGCAAATTTTTTATGACACACATCACATTCATAAGGTCTTAATTGTAAATGCGTATTCTTATGTTGAGATAATTGAATTTTTTTTAAAAATGCTTTATGGCACAAACCACATTTATGAAGCTGAAGTCCAACATGATTTTTAATATGCATAGATAAACTTGCCTTTTCAGTAAATTTTCTATGACATAAATCACATTCGTATGGTCTGTGTCCTAAATGTATATTTTTATGTACTTCTAAACGACCTTTCTGACTAAACTTTTTATGACACACATTACATTCATGTGACTTAATTCCAGCATGAATATTTTTGTGCATAATTAAACTATTCTTCTGAGCAAAGTTTTTATGACACACATCACATTCATATGGCCTAAGCCCAGAATGAGTCTTTTGATGTTGAGCTAACTGGTACCTCTGAGCAAACATTTTATGGCACACATCACATTCATGTGGCTTTAGTCCAGAGTGAATAATTTTGTGATTAGATAAACCAGACTGCCTGACAAACTTTTTATGACACACAACACATTCATATGGCCTAAGTCCAGAGTGAATGACTTTGTGTACTTTTAAATTAGACTTATGAGCAAATTTTTTATGACACACATTACATTCATATGGTTTAATTCCAGCATGAATATTTTTGTGCATAATTAAACTATTTTTATAAGCAAACTTTTTATGACACACATCACATTCATATGGCTTATGTCCCAAGTGAATAATTTTGTGTGTATATAAACTAGATTTATGAGCAAACTTTTTATGACACACATCACATTCATTGCATCTGTCTTCAGGATGTAATTTATGCAGAGAAAACTTCTTGTTTATTTTCTTAAGCTGTTTTACATGACTGTTCATAGCACCTTGTTGCTGATAAAAATCATACCCATTTGAATTCTTTCCTGTGTGAGTTTTCATATGTTGTGTAATATGATCTAAATGAGTAAATCTTTGACAACACATATCACACTTATATGTCTTCAGTCCCTTATCACTGAGCTCATACATTGTTGGAAAATTATCAATAACTTCTTTATGCAATTCCTTGAGTTCTTTTAAATCATGATGAAGATCTGATTTTAAAATTGTAAAATTTTCAATAAAAGCATCAGAATCCGGTAAAAATTCAAGCTGTCTTTTAACATCTAAGCTATTTTCGTTTTCACCCTTAAATGATGAAAATGTTAAGATGTCCTTTTTCATAACATCACACCTTAAAAGTTCTGTTGAAACATTTTGTTTCATATCTTTAGAATATGAAAATGTTTCATCTGATTGTTGATTTTCTGACGTTGAAAATGCAACTGTTTCTTTTGACTTGTCTTCAAAAGGTGAAGATTGTGATGATATATTTTGTTTGATAACATTTGAAGTTGAAATCAATGTTGAATTTGGTTTCACATCTTCTAAAGTTGAAATTCCCAATGTTACATCTGATTTTAAATCCATAAATTGTATTGCTTGGTCATTTGATTCCTGTTTAACCACATGTGCACTTTGTATTGACATGACTGATTTTCCTAGTCTTTTCTGCATAAACTTAAATGGATGGCTAAAAAAATAAAATAAAAGATGATATGAACAGAAAAATAAAATTATTTTTTAAAACATTTTTTTTCCCTTAAAATATCCATTTTAATACATCAACTTTCAGTAACTCTCTTCATAAGATTTGGAAAAAAAGTAAAGTTTCCCTTTGAAACCTGACGGTCTATGGGGTAAGTGAAGTAGAGTTACCTTGGCATATGAAGAGATAGTGTGGTCAGCACTATGCCCATCCGCCTTTACTTTCCCTAACGTGAGTTAGGCACCCATCAAAGTTGGGTGGACTCAGAGATGGTCTACTGACTTGAACCCGAATTTGAACTTGAGACTCACAGGTTAGCAGGCCAGCTCTCTACCACTAGGCCACTCCGTCCCATTGATGTGGAGAGGTCCATTAATATAGGACTAAAAATTATTTAGTTTAATAAAAAAACTCTCTAGAAATTATTTAAAACTTCAACAAGAATAATATTTTTTAAGTTTCAACTTTTCAGTAACTCTCTTTGTAAGATGTGGAGAGATCAATTACTTTGGCCTAAGACAAAATTTAGTTACTGTCCTTAAAAAAATGTTGACACTCTGTATAGTATACTTTAAAGTATGAACTCTAAAATAAATACCAAGTATCTAGTGATCTAAGGGAAAAAATCCAATGTGCAACTTTTATTTTGTTTGAACGGTGTTCTAAACAACTTATACTAGGATATATGTATTTAACAAAACTACTGCGCAGCAGCGCAGCCTAAAGGGGACATAGCTAGTGATATTGTGTAATGTTTAAACAGCTCTCCTAAAAATATAATGTAAGTCTAATTGTAATATATATATATATATATATATATATATATATATATATATATATATATATATATATATATATATATTTATATATAGATAAACAGTGCTCATTTCCTCTCACAATATGATATGAGACCTATATCTATTAATTAACTATTAAATTTGGATGATTTTAAATACCGGAGTATAATAGACTCTTCCATAAAATAGGCGCGTTGGGTTATTAGTAGTATTGTAATCTCGACTAATTATGGTTAGAAATTAGGGTTAGGCGTTTGGTATGACCAGGGTTGGGGGGTAAAACTCTATTTTAGCATATTTTTTACCTTTTCTAATTAAAACTCACATTCATATAAAAAATAAATAGATCTAGATCTAACTCTTATCCTAGTGTTTTCCTCATCTTTTTGTGTGTTTCTGTTGAGTTTATAATAAAATACACTCAACTGGAGGTGAACGTGAAGCGGAGAATAAAATACATTAAAATGGAGTTTTACCGGGTTGGGGTTAGGGACAGGGTTAGCATTGACATTAGCCAGCCATGTGTTTATTATTTAGTTAATTACTAGACTCTAGAGATCTAGTAACCTAACAGTTAACACCCCTTTTTTAAAGAAGATTCCATTATCGGCTCGGACAACATGGTATAAACATTCACCCTTAGGCCCTAAATTAAAATTTAATTAAATTCTATTATCTAGTCCTAGGTACTAAAAATTACACAAAAAAGCAAAAATGTCTGAATGAGAATGAGTGAATGTGGCTTCTCATTGATACTTACTACTGTACTAGATCTAGATCTACTAACTACTAACTAGGACCTAGCTAGATCTAGATCTTGATATAATAGGCCCATAATCTATCGTTTTAGGTACGTAAAATCGCCCGTGATTAGTAATGTGAAAGACAGGTGACTCCTTAAATTTTAATAATTATTTCACATTTTCAGGAGGATTTATGTTTTGAAAAATACAAAAATGTTTCCTTGTTTCATTTATGTAGGGCGTAGGGCCTACCTGTTGTCAAACAGTTGAATTAAAACTTTTCAGTAATAAATGAAGACTAGCGATGTTTTCAACAAATGCAACCATGCTCACTTACTATAGCAGCCATCTTAAGTTCTTTCTTAAGGCAACTCTTTTTTACAAATAGCTGCTAGATCTAAGTGCTGTTTATATAGGAAATCCTGCTCGCAAACACTGCTGTTTAAACTTTAAAGTTAATTTCTTGCCTATAGGGCCTATACTCTATATTGGGTAATCTATCGTTTTGGGTACGTAAAATCGCCCGCGATTTGTAATGTGAAAAACAGGTGACTCCTTAAATTTTAATAATTATTTCACATTTTGAGGAAGATTTATGTTTAAAAAAAAATCAAAAATGTTTCCTTGATTCATTTATGTACCTGTTTTTAAACAATTGAATTAAAACTTTTCCGTAATAAATGAAGACTAGCGATGTTTCCAACAGATGCAACCATGCACATTTACTATAGCAGCCATCTTGTCTAAGTTTTATTTTTTATAAGCTTTTAGCTCCAGATTCAGGGGGAAGCCACTCTATTTTACAAATGGCTGCTGTTTATATAGCAAATCTTGCTCTCAGACACTGCTGTTTAAAGTTAATTTCTGGCCTATATCGATATATTTAGCCATTGATTTAGGTTTATTATTCATTTATCTATAATATTTGACACAAACATATCACAATATACTTCTATTAAAGCCTTGACAATGAGGTAACGTTTTCGTACATAAATAGCCGCGGGCGATTTTACGTACCCAAAACGATAGATTACCCTATAATTTAGCTATTGATTTAGGTTTATTATTCATTTATCTATAATATTTGACACAAATAGAATCTATATCAAAATATACTTCTATTTAAACCTTGACAATGAGGTAACTTTTTCGTACATTACCAGCCGCGGGCGATTTTGTACCCAAAACGATAGATTTCTAGATCTAGAGATTAGATCTAGATCTAGAATCATCTAGATTCTAGATCTATCAGGTCATAGGCCTATGCTAAATAAATTTAATTTTCTAGCCTACTAATTATCTTTTGAATAAAAAATTAGCCTACAGATAACTAAATAATAGTTCACCATTAATGATAAAAACCAGAAGTACTGTCCTAAAAGTAACTTTTGACAACGTTGTTTATTTGATCTAAGAATCTACATTTTTAAACGTAATTTTAGAACTGTTGATAGCAGTTGCAGCGGTCATGTTATAATTTTACGTACTATTATCTAGAGTGCTTTCCCCTAGTTAGGTCTAGATCTAGATCCCAGGGGCCGCATTAACTATTAAATATCAGTTCGGGGGCCAGAGTTTCTTCCAGGCATTTCCAGCCCCTTCCCCCTTCTCACCCGAAGATCGTCTACTGCCCCACCCTTCAACAAAATATTTTATATAGATATCCTAATATATAAAAACCCCCGTGCGCACTTCTCTCTCTCTCTCTCTCTCTCTCTCTCTTTCTCTGTCTGTCCGCAAAATATTTTCGCCGGACATCACTTCAGAATCTACAGCGATATATCAAGAACTTGATACGGACTTTTGTTGAAAATAATATGGTAGATGTTATAAATGTATAACCACAATTTTATTTAAAGAAGAAAAATAAAAAATAAAGGCGTATTCGAATGTAGAAAAACAATTTTATTTATGCAACCGGAAAAGTGTTTAAACTTGGGACAAGACCGCATTTAACAATGACGTCGCTTATTGTTTACACTTAAAAAAAGCACGAAACTTATGACGTCATCTTCCGTCTTTAGAATAAAAATTTTCATAAAAAACGTTTTAATAACAAGCTTTTATGTAATGATGCACTAAAAAGTAGAAAATAAATTATACACTACTATTTAAATTACTACTTCAGCTGAACAGAGTCTCGGCATTTTCTAAAAGAAATCAAATTCTACAATAATCGGTGAAAATGTACAATGATTTGCTCACATCATTAAAAAAAAATAACTGTCGCTAACTAGAACTCACTTGTCGTGAAACTGTCACAATCTAGAACTCACTTGTGAAACTATCACAAACTAGAAGTCACTTGTCGAGAAACTGTCACAAACTAGAAGTCACTTGTCGTGAAACTATCACAAACTAGAACTCACTTTTTCGTGCAACTGTCACAAACTAGAAGTCACTTGTCGTGAAACTATCACAAACTGGAACTCACTTGTCGTGAAACTGTCACAAACTGGAACTCACTTTTCGTGCAACTGTCACAAACTATAACTCACTTTCTTCAAAACTGTCACAAACTAGAACTCACTTGTTGTGAAACTGTCACAGACTTCCTTTACCGTCTCTAGTACTATCCCTCTAAAATACGCTGGGGGTGGAGGGAGGAATGGTGCGCCTTCAAGGTGGTCTGATCCACGGCACTAGAGTTTCTTACAGGCATGTTCTCGAGTGGGGGGGGGGGGGGGGGTCTTAACAGAAGTTCGACTACGCACCCCCAACCCCTCCCAAACGAAAAAGAATGTTTATTCAAAATATATAATGTAACTAATGTCCGAAATGCCCCGTAAATTTCAATCATCCCTCCTGAGGTAGATTGTAATGACTGACGAGAAGCCGCGTTGGTTGTTAACAGCCTTTATTATGTACAGACGCCATGATCGGAAAGAGAGAGAGGAAGGAAGTGGCCAGAGACAACTATATATAGATAACAACATGTAAGGGACATCACTCAAGATAACAATATAAATATAATACTAATACAGAGAGTGAGTTCCCTTGACCTCACAATTAACTCAATCTATTACATCCCTTTACCCTTAGAACACAATAACACATCTCTCAATAGAACAATTGATAGTATCCTAAAATCGCCAATTATATTGTAACATGAACACTATGGTAGATTACATCCTTACAAACAATGCACAATATGCTACAACATAATCAAAATACAAAACAATAATGTCAAAGTCCTTTTGACCTTTAGAATCATAGGTCTAACTTATTTGGGACTTTGATTGTCCTGCTTGACCTTCTCAGTGGCTTCTGATTTGGTGACTCAAGATTCTGACCATCTGGATTCTCTATCTCAGGAGGTCTAGGATTTAAATCATTAACTCCAGAATTTACATTTTCTGACTCCAGACAACTTGGTTCACTCATATCAACAGAACTTGGTTGTGGAACAAACTGAGTTGGTGTGAACTGATCAGACTTGGTGGGATTGACAGATTCACACTTATTATCTGCACAAGTTATTTTTAACTTTATAAGGCACAGGTCCTGTACATTGAACAATTTGACCTGGTATCCATTTTTCCTTTCTCCCATAATTTCTTAGATACACATTCTCATTAACACCAAATTCTCTTTCAATGAATGTTTGTCATGATTTAATGGAACTATTTTTGAATTGGCATCTGAAAGTATTATGCTATTATTCAGATCCTTGACTGACATAGATTTCTTTGATTGATCAATTTCCTCAGGTAATCTGATAGTGCTTTCCTGGTAACCAAAAATACTGTTTACAAGTAATATCCTGGACCATATCAATTTGCAACTGTGATCCAGTATTTGAAGTGGGTGTATTCAATGGCAAAAATCTTTGCTCTTTTCTTTTGATGTTACCCTTTTAGTTTCTGTAAGTGCTAATGATGTTAGCAAAGTTGTTTGATGATCACATTCCTTCTTACTAATGTATTCTCTTTAAAGGCATTTGAAATTGCCATATCACCATAATCATTTATTAAGTTACAAATACTTTGTTTAGGCAACTCTGACTGATAATGGACTGCATCTTCTCCATCTTTTAGACTTAATTCCATTTCTCTTATTGTATATGGCCTTAAGTCATCATTCACAGACTCTTTAGGCCAATCATTCTTACAGTACTCATATACTTTTATTAAGCACTCATCTTTTTGTGTTTCTCTTTTAATATCATTCACATTTATATTGGAGTTATCCATGATAGTGAAGAGAACAAATACATCTTCTGGTACATAGCTCAGGCTTTGGTTTTTTAAAGGTAATCTACTCAGACTATCTGCACTATTCTCAGATCCAGGTTTGTATTTCAATTCATAATTGTATGCAGTTAGTGTGATAGCCCATCTTTGAATTCTTGGTGAGGCATGCTCAGGTAGGGTTTTGTTTTCTCCAAATAAACCTAGCAATGGTTTATGATCTGTAAAGATGGTGAACTTCCTACCAAACAGAAACTTATGAAATTTCTTAACACCAAAAATGATGCCTAAGCCTTCCCTATCTAACTGAGAATAATTTTTCTCAGCCTGGTTCAAAGATCTACTGGCAAAAGCAATGGGTCTGTCACCCTTCTCATCCATGTGGGACAAGACTGCTCCTACACCATCTGGTGAAGCATCACATGTTAATATAAGTCTTTTCCCTGGGTCATAGTGAGTTAGTAAGGTGTCAGAAGACAAAGCTTCTTTTGCTGTATTAAAAGCAGTATCTTGTTGTTTACCCCAGTGCCAAGTTGCATTTTTCTGTAGCATCTTGTACAGTGGTGATAGTTTACCAGACAGATTCCCTATGAACTTTGCATAGTAATTTATTAAGCCCAAAAAAGCTCTTAGTTGTTGGGTATTTTCAGGTTTGGGTGCTTCTTTAATGGCTTTTGTTTTCTCAGGTTGAGGTCTGATGCCTTGTTTGCTCAATATATAACCAAGAAAACTAATTTCTGTCAGCATGAATTGACATTTATCTTTGTTTATCTTTAAACCTTTTTCACCAACAATTTTCAATACTTTATCAAGTGTTTTAAGATGTTCAGTGTCATTCTTACCAGTTATGTACACATTGTCAAAGTACACACAAACATTTGGAATATCCTTAAAAATACTGTCCATGACAGCTTGGAAAATTCCAGGGCTAGATGATATGCCAAAACATAGTCTTTCATATTGGTAGAGTCCTTTATGTGTGTTTATTGTCGTATAGACTTTTGAATCTGGATGCAGTTCTAGTTGAGTGTAAGCATGACTAAAGTCTAATTCAGTGAATTTGTCTCCTCCTGCCAAATTCAAAGAGATTTCCTCAATGTTAGGTATAGGGTACCTATTTAGCTCTATTTGCTTATTCAGTGTAGTTTTGTAATCTCCACAAATTCTTATAGAACCATCCTTCTTTAACACTGGCACAATGGGTGTCGCCCAATCGGAATAGTCTACCTTCTTTATAATGCCATTAGATTCCAATCTACTTAGCTCATTTTCAATTTTATTCCTCATTGCATAAGGTGGAACTCTAGCTTTGCAGTATCTTGGATTTGTGTCTTTAATGCTTAACTTCACTGTTCTATCATTTAGTAATCCTGGATTACCAAAAACACATTTATTTTCAGATATAACTTTATCTAGTGAAGTAAGACTAGATTCTTTTACATTCTTCAATGAACAAATACTCTCCCAATTTAACTTAAGATCACTTAACCAGTTCCTACCTAGTAATGGCGGTCCATTTCCTTCAACCACAAGAAGAGGAAGTTTAACACTTTGACCATTATAACTTACATGAACCATACACTCTCCTATTACCGGAACATTGTCACCAGTGTATGTTGTTAGACACTTGTGACATGGTTGTAGAGGCACTGATCCTCCTGTGACAGCATCAAAATCTTTCTTTGTTATGACTGTTAGAGATGCTCCAGTGTCAAGTTGGAAGCTGATGCTCTTACCGTTGATATTAATTTGTACATTGATGGGAGCATGACTTATTGATTTCACAGAGAACAGGCTGAAATCCGGCTGCGAATCAGTTTGAGCATTTTCACAGGTAGAGTGGTTCATTGGTTGGGTTAGGTAGTCTTGGTGAGAGTTAACATAGTGCTGCCTTTGGTTGCGGTACTGTCTTGACTGGCTAGATTTAGCAACAGACGAAGACTTTGCAAAGCAGGCCTTGGCAATGTGACCTTGCTTACTGCACTTATAACAAGTTGCAGACTTGAACTTGCACCGATGAGATGCATGGGGACCTTTGCATCGATGACATTTTTGATAATTATTACTAGATTTAGATCTAGGATTTGAACGAGCAGGCTGTTTAGCATAAGTTGGAATGCTCTGATGGGGTTGATGTTTGTTGACTAACCTGCTGTTTACTGCATGGATCCCTGAAGGTGCTAAAGATCTCGCCGCATCTGATGACTGCTGGAATGACATTGCAAGTTGTATTGCTTTTTCCAATTTTAGATCTGACTC